TGAGCAAGATGTACGGCCCTGAGAGAGAGAACGGCGAGGTGCAGAGCCCAGTTGAGGATGGGGGTGCAACAGAGGATGCTGGACCTGCTATAGAGCCCACACCCATCAGCCCCCCAGACTCCACCCTCCCTCTGCCCCCACCTCCAGGACAGACGGTGCGCCCAGGGGTCAAGGAATCTCTTGTCTAGCAGGTGGCATCGGGGTGGCCAACTGAGCCTGGCACAACCAGAGCTTCCCATGGCGCCTGCTCGCTGAGTCTGGAGTTGATCCGGCTCCCTCACAGGGGACAGGATTTGGCCTCCATGGGGCTGACACCCTGGCCGGAGCACCTGCCTCCCCAGACTATGGGAAATGGGGTGGCATCCCAGGGGCACCACACTGGACCTGAGCCTCCCACCGCCATGGTTTTGCCTTCAAGTTATTCTCACCTGGTGGGCCTGACCCCCAGAGGAGGTCAGAACATCAGAATTTCTGCCCCCCCCAAGGGGAGGAGCCAGGCTGCCCTCCTGCCACCTGAGACTAAAGAACTAAGGGCCCCTCCCAGGCCCCCCACACTGTGGCTGGTTGACAAAGCTCACCTCAAAGCTCACCTCAAAGATGAGAGCAGACACCTGACCCAGAGCCTGCCAGCCTTCCCCCTGTCTCTGAGACGCAGGGTCACCCTACCTACTCAGGAATTTTTCTGGAAAAGGGAAATGTCATTGGTCCAGAAATAGCTCCGCAAACCTGATTGGCTGCTGGATTCTGACACCTCAGCCTGGGTTTGTGAGTCCTGAAACAATGTCCTGGTTTGTCCATTGTCCAAACCCCCGCTCCCTTGTTCAAACCACCACTCCCTTGGTGAAGAACAGAAGGGAGGGTTCCACCTGGAAATTGTCTTTTCCTAAGAAGCACCCCCACTCCCACCCCACCCCTGGGAATCACTGCCTGGGGCTTATTGACCCCAGGGGCTCCGAACACCCACATCTAGGATGGAGCTAAGGTCCCTGTGCTTGGGAAGAAGTTTCCTGTTCCTCTCCTCCCTTCCTGGCTCCTCCATCAGCACCCCTGGGGCACCTAGTCTCCCCAGGCCTCAGAGCTCCCCTCCTCCACACACCCCAGCTCACCCCTTTGTCGCCCCCTCCCCAAAGTGATCCTAAGAGTGTTACAGTCGAGCCCACGAGAGAGATTTCCGTGCTGAGGCCTGAGCACAGCAACCCAGCTGAGGTCCAGCCTCCCAGCTTCCTGCTGCCTGGAGAGCCAGAGGGAGTGGTCTGGGCATGGCGGTGCCAGGCCCTCCTGGCTCCCAGAGGGCGCCCAGGCCACGCGGGAGGAGGGGTCACCGGTTCGTGTCCTTGTGTATGTGCTGTGGGAGCTTTGTACCTGGGGTGTGTGAGAGCCACGGGCCGGCCCCCCTGCACTGCAGCTCGGGGCGTGGGGATGTGCCCCTGTGCCAGCGTGTGTGAGCGTGACCGCATGGCACGTTTGCACGCTGAGTTCCCGTTAGTTCCTCTTCTGTCTTCTTGTTTCTCGTGAACAGTTTGATTAAACTCAGGAAGCAGCAAAACCTCCAGAGCGACACGTGTGTGCGGGGTGTGGGGTGCCCCCGCCCCCCGCGCCTGCGTCCGTCCTGCTCTGCCCGGCCCGGGCGCCCCCTCCCACTCCGGAGTCTGCTCCTCCCATCGCTCTGGTTCCTCCCTCCGCTGCCCCCAGCCTGTGCTGACCTCCTCCCCGTCTCTCTGGGGAAAGAGGCTGGTGAACCCCAGCGGGTCAGCTTCTCCCTGACCAGCACCCTGTCCACTGCCTGCCCCTCCCTGCCAACTGGCACGGCCCCGAGAGCCTCTATGGACAGGGTGGTGTGCAGACGGCGGCCTCCCCTGCCTCGGGCCCTCCCATGCAGGCCCACACCCTTCACTCCACGTCCAGGTGGGAGCAGGCCCAAGCCAGGCAAGTGCCTGAGTCCTTTGTACAGTTCTGATATAATAAAGCCTCCTCTCGGCGCCTCAGCGTGAGGGTGTCTTCCTTCTGCGCCCCTGCGTGCAGACACGGACCTGCAGAGAACAGCCCGGAGGACTGGAGCCACGCCAGGGAGACAGAGCCTCTGGGGGGGCGGGAGGCAGGGTACACAGGGCCCCCCTCCCTCCACAGAAGGAGGCCTGGAGTCCAGCCTCGCGCCTCCCCTGCAGGCAGCCCCACCCCTTCTCCCCACCCGTGGCCAGAGACTAGGCCCTGGGACCCTGCGTCCCGAGCCCCTCGTCCCCGGAAGCCCCCTCCTCTGCTCACCCCCAGACTCCCATCGTGGGCCTCACAGTGCGCCCCCGACTCCCCCAGAGAGCCTCCAGGGGACCCTGCCTGTGACCCGACCCAAGAGCCCAGGTTCCTGTGTGTGCTAGAGTGGGTTCAACCCCCAGTCCCAGGGGGTGGAAGACAAGTTCACGTATAAGCTTTTGTTCTACACCTGGATTTCGGACTCCTCCACACCAGCAAACAATGAGTCAGGGTTTCTGCATTCTGGGGTGATATGGCACCCACAGGCAGGGACTGATGAGTTTGAGCCCCAGACCTCCCTGTGAATTTCCTCTGCTCGGTGAGTCTCCCCAGCCCCCTCCATGTGCGGTCCCTTTGTGTGGGGGTGTCCAGCCTCCCTGCCAGGTTCTCTGAGCTCCTCACCGGGGGCGCGGGCTCCTCTCACTTCTCCAGGATTTCCGGGGTCCCACAACTGCCGTGTGAAGGGTGCGTCGTCACCCTTATTTCTGTTTCACAGAAGTGAGGTGACTGGGTCTCTAACAGGGCTGCTTCACCGGGGTGCTGTTGGCCTGTGGGGCCCCCGACGGCTTTGTGAGACCTTGTCCCTCCCCGCCCCCGCCATGGGGCCTTCAGGCCTCTGGATGCCAGCGGCTCCCGAGTGTGGCGGGACACCTGGTTAGCCACCGGCAGGTAACTTGAGGCTTTCGGCTGGTGCCCTGCAGGCCGGGCCCCAAGGCTGGCCCTCCTGAACCAGCAGGACTCCTGGCCGGAGCTGCGAGTCCAGTGGATCTGTGGGGAGGGGAGACATGGGCGGGGCAGAGGTCTGAGCCCTTCGCTGCACACTGAGGTCGCTGGCCCCTCTCCCAGAGTGGCTGGGGTCCCTCCCTTTGCTGCCCCAAGTCTGAGCTCCTGTCCCTCCCCCTCCACCCCCCCTCTTGTTTTGAGGCTGTGTTCCTGGAAAGGTGGGGTGGGGCTGCCGGAGGGATATCGGGGTGTGCAGCCGAGGTAGCCGGGGGCAGAGGCAGGAGTGGGCTTAGGTTTCCCTGTTCTGGGAAAGAGGGGCGTCACGAGCCCCATTCAGAGCTCAGCACTGTTGTCACTAGGGAGGGAACAGCACAGCCCCAGCGGTGACAAATAACCCTCCGGGGGATGGTGCCCCCTGAGCCCCCACGGGCCCCTGCCAACAGCTCCTAGCCTGGCATGAATGGGGATGAAGTCCAAAGGACACATTTACATCCCACCCTCGGGGTGTGCACATATGTGTTTGGAGAATGCTGAGCACCCCCCCCAGCCCCTGGGCCCCAGCCCCCCCACACCACCCGGGGCCCGATGCCAGGTGAGCCACACACGCAGAGTCCCAGGCCTGCTCCCCTCATCCTTCCAACTTTGGGGGCGCCCTAGTCCCAAAGCTAACCAAGGAGGTAACTTACTGAAGAAAGAGCCCCCCGGATTTGCCCCTGTTCCTCTGGGAGTCTCCAGCTACCCCCACCAGTCCAGGGCCCATGGTCCCCAGGCTCACCCCAGGTGATGTTTATATTCCTGGGCTGTTTGTTCTGTGAACTGAACATCTGACACCTTTTCAGAGAAATGTTTTTTCATTGGGAACATCTGGAAACAGCAAGAACATCTGGGCTGCCCAGAACGAGCTGTTCCTTGGATGAAACTGTAACAGTCCTGTTCCCACTTTCCTCAGCTCCGTGCTCCTGGGGCCTGGGGGCTGACCCCCCACACACGGTGCCTGCCGGGTGGGCATCCAGACCCCTGCTTTCCTCACCACCAGCCCGGGAGTGGGTGCCCACCTCTCGGTGCCTTGAACAGACCCGCTGACCGCCAGAGACTGGGAGGTTGCAGGGACTCGAGATGGCGGCAGAAGACTTGTAGGACCCGGCGCCTTGGGGAGTCAGGAGGGCGTGCTGAGCCAGGGGCTGCGGTGCCCGCCTGCCTGCCGTGTTCAGTGGGCACCGGGACTGCACAAGGGACCCTCCCCACGGGGCAGGGGCGGGGCGGGACAGAGACTCCAGCTCCCGAACACTGTGGTTTCAGCCAACATTCTGCTACCTGGCAAGATCAAGCCAGAGCCTTTGAGTTTCTGAACCTCAGGGCTCCCCCACGCGGACCTCCTGGCCCCCACCCAAGAGGCCTGCAGCTGTGAACAGCAGGTCTGCTCACGGTGGCTGGGTCTCCTCTAAGCCCTCAGCACCCCAGCCCCCACCTCCGAAGCTCCCACAAACCCTGGCAAGCCGGGGCGGCTCAGCTCCCCAGGCCCAACATGGCCGCCAAGCAAGAGGCCTCTCCAGGCGCCTGGCCCGGGCCCACCGCTGCCCCCGGCACCCGCGGGCCATCCTCCCTTGGTGCTCGTCTTCCTGCAGGCCCGCCCATGGCAGAGGGGCCCCACCGACACTCATCCCCCGGTGCAGAGAGCTTGGGAATGCAGGTCCGGGGATGGAGGCTGGTGGGCCCTGGGCGTGATGGGCAGCGGGGAGACACTGGACAGGCCACAGGAGACTCAGAGGCCCCTGACTCCCAGGAATGCCCACTGTGCACGCGCTACGGTGCCCAATGGTGAACTTTGAACCTTAGCAGCCCAGCTGACAAGAGAACCTGCCTTCCCCCAGGGTCCCCAGAGAGCTGGTGCCTCCCCTGGGTCCCCATTTGCATGGCAGGAAGAGGCCTGATGGGGGAGAGGCAGGGAGGGGACAGGCTGCCGTCTGGGCAGTTACACGCTTTCCCCCGGAGCCTCTGCCGTTGCTGCGAGCTCGGGCCGGACTCGGGCGGTGACCATGGCCGGGCTGACACTGTCTCCCATGCCCAGCGCCTGGCTGGTGGTTTTGCTGCTGCTGCTTTCAGGTACAGCACCCGCCTGCCCCCCAGACATGGCCTGCTGGTCCCACTCTCTGCTTCCGCTGGTTCCATCTCCAGCTTTCTGCTACCTCCTCTTTCTGTCTCTTGCACTCGCTGCCTCCTGCCTCCCTCCACCGCCCTAGGGCCTAGGTCTGTGGGTGTCACTCAGGCTACGGGCTCAGGGATCTGGGGCCCAGCACCTCTCCTGCCTGCAGAGTGTCAGACTGAGCTGGGCCAGAGGGTTGGTGATATGACATGATGGGGAAAGAGCTGGGTCCAGGGGGAAGAGAGGAGAGCTGTGCACCCCCGGTGGGCCCCGCGGGCACCGGGCTGGGAGGCAGGGCGCCCCGGGAACAGATGCCGATCCAGAAGTGGCTTCTGGTCTGAAAAGAGAGTCCTCCCAGCTGCACCTCCCTCCTGCCTGACTCAGGCACCTCTGACGGGTCAAAGGCAGAGGGGAGCTGGGAGGAGGTCAGCTGTGCTCCCAGGCTACTCCTGTCTCCAAGAAACAGGGCCCAGAGTCGAGGGGCTTGGTGTTTTGTTTTGTTTTGTTTTTAAGATTTATCTTCTTTATTTATGCATGCAAGAACTGGGATACAGACCAGAGGCGCGGGGGGCCGAGGGAACAGGCAGATCGACAAAGTACACTGCCGAGGGGAGCAGCGGGGAGACAGGAGAGTTCTGCTGTGCCTTGTGGGTCAGCTCCCTGGCGGGGGTAGACCTGAGGCCATAGCACTCATAGTGCTGAGACTCAGCCCCTAGGCCACAAGGGGGGCCCGGAGCTGAGGGGCTTTGCAGCTCATGGCTCGGAAGGAGGAAGTGCGTCTTGGAGCTCAGAGGGTATGCAGGGGGTGGGGCACCTCACCTTCTTCCTCCCACCCAGCAGGTGAGCCGGTGCCAGCAGCCAACTCAGGAAACCCGCACCGGAATTTCAAAGGTCAGCACCTTCACCCCCACCCCGCCAGGGGGACACATGTGGGGTCCGCGCAGGCCGCTGTCCTGTGCTGCTCGCCCCTGGGTCTCCCCTTGGGGACTCGCATCCCCAGACCTCCTGGGCTCTCCCCTGTGAAGCCTGACTCGGAGGCCACCACCCTGGCCTTTCCCTATCCTGAGCTGGTATTTGTGTTCCCGTCCCAGAGACTGGGGGTGGGGAAGCCAGAGGGAACCCCACCAAAACTCGGGCCGGTCTGTCTGGCTGTGGAGATGGCCTCAGCTGTGGAAAGAACCTTGGGGCCTCTGACAGGCCACTCTCCGGAAGGGAGGCAGGAGGGGGCTTCCGGGGGTGAGGGAGGGAGGGGACCGGTTGGGCGGAGCGTGCTGGAGAGAAAGGGGGAGAGAAAGGGGGAGCAAGGCCAGGCAGAAGGGTAGTAGGAGAGGGTGGAGGAAAGGGAAGCGGGGAGAGATGCCCAGGGCCTCCGTCATCCAGCCAAGGCTTCTGTCGTCTCCCCCATGGGGGAGCATCGCCAGGGCTTCGGGGCTCAGGACTGCTCAGGGCCGGGAGGGGCGGGAGCTGCAGGCCAGGTGGGCCCAGGGAGAGCCAGGCTGCTGTAGCGGGCAAGCGCCGGTCATCAGGTTCCACGTCCTACACAAACTGCAGTCGGGGAGGGGGCGGGGTCCCGTGGCTTGACCTGTGGCTACTCACGTGGCTGGAGGGGTGAGGACTGAGAGGCGGGGTGGGTTGCGGAGCCAGGGGCCAGGGCCAAGGTCAGCAACCCTGGTGTCAGGAAGACATTCCCATCCCAACCTCGATGCCCACAGGAAGCACTTGTTCCCGGTTGTGGCAGATCCCACGTTTTGTGGCCAGAAAACGGGGCTCCAACGTGACCATAGCGTGCCACATGGAGAGCAAGGGCAATGTGACTTGGTACTGGAAGCCAAAGATAGACGCAGAGGCCAAGCTGCTGCCCCAGGAAAATGGCCACATCCAGCAGAAACAGGACCACACCATCTCCACGCTCACCATCTGGGGCATCCAGGTCCAGGACAACGGCATCTACTACTGCCATCAAGAGTGCCCGCTGGAACTGACCTTGCACACGGGCTGCGGCACGGAGCTGCGTGTCATGGGTGGGTGCGGGGGGGAGATTCGTGGGGGCGGCCCTCGGCGCGGTTCTGGAGCGGGCCCTGCCCCAGCCCGTCACAGGCACGGGGGCCCACGTGCTCGGGAAGATCGCTGGGGAGCAGGCCGGGGTGGGCGCAGGCCCTGGCGCGGGGCGCAGCCTCACGGCCCACCTCCCACCAGGGTTCAGCACGGTGGAGCAGGTGAGGCGGCGGAACACGCTGAAAGATGGCATCATCATGATCCAGACCCTGCTCATCATCCTCTTCATCATCGTGCCCATCTTCCTGCTGCTGGACAAGGTGACCGCGGGGGCCGGGAGGCGGGCGTGGGGCAGGGCCCAGGGCCGGCTGTGGGCTCACCTGTTCAGCGCGCCCTCCTTCAGGGTTGCTGTTCTTGCACCTCACCCCTGCCCCTCACCCTTCACCCCGCACCCCGGGCCACTGTCCCTGGCCCTCTCCAGCCTGCCCAGCAGTGGGCGAGTTGGGAGAAGCTAAGACGCCACTTTCCATCCCTTTCCCCAGGATGACAGCAAGTCTGGGATGGAAGAAGATCACACCTACGAGGTAGGAGCAGGGCACACTGAAGTCCTGAGGGTCTGTGGTCAGCGGTCACCATTTTGGGGGTGTTTGGGGAGCAGCCAACACCTGAGCTCTCTCTTCCGTGTCTCCAGGGCCTGGACATTGACCAGACGGCCACCTACGAGGACATAGTGACTCTGCGGACAGGGGAGGTAAAGTGGTCGGTGGGCGAGCACCCCAGCCAGGAGTGAGGGGCCGGCCCTCCCATCGTCGTAGCCACACCGGGGCGCAGCCTGCTCGGCGCTCACTGACTGCTTCAGAGCCGCCCGGCTCCCAGCCTGCCCTCCGCCCCAGACCCAAGTCAGTCTCCAAAACTGACCCACCGGATCTGCCTGCACCCCCAGGCTCTGGTCCCAGCTCTCACAAGGGCCTGGAGCGCAAGGCCACAGAGCAGTGGTTTGGAGCAGGACTTCTTTGGGGACAGACTGGACCCAGCCTCTGGGGGTGCTGTGCGGGGGGTCCGACCCACATTCAGGACGGGGGAGATGGAGAATGTGTGGAACCCGCAATGGACTCAGAGCAGACCGGCCTCCTCCTGCAGAGCCTGGGAAAGCCTGGCCCACCTCCACTGGCCGCAAATGCTGCCAAGAGCTTGGTCCCCTGCTGCCTTCTCCTGCGCTCTCCCCCGGGGGCGTCTTGAGTCCATTCTCCCATGGAATAAACAGTGTGTCTTGAGGGACCACACGCAGGCTTGTGACATCTGTGGGCCTGGGGTGGAAGAGAGTACTTATCTGGGCACAGAGGGTTCACAGGAGGGGAGGCGGCGAAGGCCGAGGGGCTCATGGGCCTCTCCTGGGCTCGCTCGAGGCTTCTCTCTGAAGGCCTCTTGCTCTTTGCTCCCTAGCTGGGTCCAGAGCAACAGGAGAACCCCGAGGGGGCGGGAACGGGGAGCCCTTCTCCTGCATACCCTTTACCCACAAGCAGCAGCTGATGTTTGCTCTATACGTCAGGGATCTCCTCCTGAAGGGTTTGCCTTCTCCCACATCCCAGTCCTGCTGTCCTTCAAAGCCGTCCACCTGCAGGAAGTCCTCTGAAAGTGCCGAGCCCATCGGGACCGGCCCTGGGCTCAGCATGACTACTACGGCCTCAGCAGCCAGGCTGGCTCATGCTGCAGCTAAACTAGAAGGCCCCTGGGGACGGGCCCTGCTCCCGCCACACACCCGCCGCCCTGCATCAAGCCTGCGCGTTTTTGGGTTGTTTTTTTTTTTTTCTTTTGATTAATAATATAATAGCTTATTTTTACATTATTTTGCGCATTTTTCCTCCTCAGTGGCAATCCCCGTGGGCTTCCCATCACCAAATCACCCCTGTGCCATCACCATAGTCCAGTGCTTCCCTCCCACCACTGTTTTTGATCCCATTCCCCACTCCACCCCCACAAAATGTCTCTGGTCTATAGCTGTTCACCATTATCATTATTTTCTCGCCTGGTCCTTATACTCCTGCTATGAGTGAAACCATCTGGTATTTTTCCTTTTCTTTCTGGCTTATTTCAGTAAGCATGGTCTTCTCCAGCCCCATCCATGTTGCTGCAAAAGACATGTGTTTATTTATTTTTTGGTTGCTGAGTAATATTCCATTGTGTACATGTACCCCATCTTTTTAATCCAGCCATCTACTTTTGGGCATTTGGGCTATTTCCAAGTCTTTCCAATTGTAAATAAAGCAGCAATAAACATGGGGGAGACTACACGTATTTTTAAGTTTGACCCAGAGCCCTGTAAGGACTCTGTCTACCCCTAAGGGGGAGACTTTGGAGTGGTAAAGTTAGGGGGTGCTTAGGTGATGCATTCAGACTTCCCCATCATCATCTTAGAGGCCTGCAAGGGCCCTCCAGATGAGGGACCCCGCTGCCCGCGTGGAGTCTGGGGGCCGCGCACACCTGGGAGCCCTGGTGTGATTAACCTCCGCATTTGAGACCAGGCGGCCTCCTCTTCCTGCTGACCCTGCGTGGTGGCCCCAAATACTTCTTTGCCCTTCACGCTACAGCCTGATGGGAGAAATCCCTGCCCTGGGGGCGGGGGGGTTGCCAGCTGAACCGGAGAACCAAGCAGCGGCTTGCCCAGCTTCCCTTGGAGTTCCAGGTGCGCCAGGAGCTGAGGCCCCGGGCCCGTGGTTCCCGTCCACCTCCGTGGCCCAGTGGCGTCCACTCGTCGGCTCGGAGTTCACCTGGGTGAGCCGCAGGCCTGCCTCCCTCACTGGGGTGCAGGGAGCGGGCTTGTTTTGCCTCCACATAGCTGCTCCCCTTCCTCTCCTGCTGCTTTGCATAGTGGTGCTAATTCTGTCCTCTCACTCCACCGGGGACCCTGGGGTGGGGGCTGGGGAGTGTCTTCACTTCTGCCCCGGCAGGGTCTCCCTCAGTTTGGGCCGCTCCTGCTGGAAGCAGGCCTTGGCTTACTGCAAGTGTACTCATGTCTTGGAATACGTTTCCCTAACGCTTGGAATTGCTGTTGGCAAACAGCCGTGACAGCAAAGACACCCTCAAAGGGCAGGGCCTTCCTGGCTGTGGGGGACAAGCCCTCCCTGGTCTGGTTTTCTGTCTTAAGCGCTTACACTGCGGGTGTCCTCTTGCCTGTCTCTGCTCCCCAGAACTGAAGCAGGACAGTGGAAATAGGGCTGGGCGATGCCAGCGGGGCTGGGACCGAATCAGGGGAAGGAAACAGGAGCAGAGGCCGTTTCTGAGTGAGTGGACCCCACAGTACGCTTGACTTTGTTTCGTACTGCTGTGCAGGTCTACAAACCCTGGCATGTGTGTCTGGGGGTGTCAGGACCATCCGGACACAGCACATGAAAGAAAAGCTTTCACTGACTCTCTGAAATGTCAGCGCAAAGCGAAAAATAAAGCAGACAGACAATGAGGGCCATGAAATGCCGGGATGTTTTATTGAGCGTCTCCACGTTGATTCCCACTATCTCGCCTCAGCCCCTGCAGAACGCCCCGTCAGGATCCCCCTCACCTCCTTTTCTAAGTAAGGGAATTGAGGCCTCAGGGAAGATGGCTCAACAGGCCAAAAGCCACACGCCAGCATGCTTACCACATCCCAGCTGTCTCCCTGGCAGAGAGCTGAGAAGAGCTGAGACTCAACCCCAGGAGGGAGGCCAGAGGGAGGAGAAACAGAGGGCAGAGAAAATCCTGGGAACCTCCGGCCACCTCCTGGCTTCACAAGCCCGAAGTGCCCACGGTCCCCTTTTTCCCTGGGGGTAATGTCATGCCCCTCAGCCGTCCCCCCAGAGTCCAGCTCAGGCCTGCCCCCGCCCCAGAATGCAGCCCTGAGGCCCCTGGTGAGCACATGCCCCCTGCCCACTGGGGGAATCCAGCCAGTCCCCCGGGGCCCGCGGTTCCTCCTCGGCGGCCTGACTTCCGCCGCTCTTGCTGCAGGTGGGTCCAGGCTGGGGCGCTCTGAGCGGGGTGTTTTTCCAGCAGAATCAGAGACGAGAGAAAAACAAAACAATACATGAAAAACTGCCTGTGTTTGACTGTCACTGCAGGCCCCCCCGCCTTCCGAGGTGGGTCTTCAACACCTCAAGGGTTTGGGGTTCCCATAGTCCAGGCAAGTGCCTGACTCTCTCCCCACTGGTTTCAGAGCTGCGTCCAGGGAATGCCTAGGCCACGTCCACCTGTTCCAGGCCTTGCTTGTCCTGCTGTTGACTCCAAACAGAAATAAAAACCAGTAATAAAACACCCCCACTCAGTTACCCCCTCCACCCCAAAACCCTTTACTTGGAACTCAGGAGCACAGATTCACAAGCGCTAAATCCTGGATGCATCGCTTAAGACACATTAGACAGAGCCTAATACAATTTTAAAGGATTTTAAAAGATTTATTTATTTATGTATACAGAGCTGGGGATGGATGCAAGGGCAGCGAGAGGCTTCACCAGAGACAGAGCGGGGAGCAGAACAGCAGATCGATGAAGTACACTGCTGAGGGGAGCAGCAGGGAGACAGGAGAGGTCTGCCGCACCGTGTGGGTCACCTCCGGGGCCCAGGATCAAACTTGCACTGAAGCGGCTGCGGCCATCTTGCAGTGCTGGGTCCTAACCCGTTGCACCACCAGGGAGGGCCTAAAGGATTTTTTAAGAGCTCTTGCTCTTGAAACTGACAGCATCTCGCGTGACCAGAGCCTGAGGTCCCGCCTGGGACTCAGCCCCTGTGAGTTGTGGGTGTGTGTAAACATTGGGGTGTGGAACCAGCTCAGGTACGCCGCCTGGTCTACTTACACCACTTAAATTTTTTCACATGTGTTTTGCCATGCATTGAAAGTTCCCGTCCTTGTTATTCTCGTTTACATACTTGCTATTTTGGACTAAGTGGACTGTTAGGGCATCAAAACTAACACGCATGCCTGGCACTGCCCCCGGGTTTGTCTCTCCGGGCATCCTGTACCATAGAGGCTCCTGGAGTTCCTAGCCCTGGGGCAAGCCACCCTGCAGACACCCCTCCGCCATCACCCCCTCCCCTCTGTGGCTTAGCTATTTCCCTCCGGGCAGTTAGCCATGGGGTCCATTTTACCATTATATATTTATATGGTTACCACTATCTCACTTTCCAGAGACCATAAGCTCCAGCAGAGAAGAGATGGCATCTTCTGTTCATCTAGGTGCATCCACCTGCCTGGTACAGTGGCTGGCACATGGAAGGAGTGGCAGGTACTTGTTGAATCAGGACATGCACCAAAAAAGGAATGAATGAATGAACGAATGAATGAATGGAATGGATAAAGGAAAGGCAAGCAGGTGGCCTGAAAGAGGTTATAGTCCTGTAAGAGATAGAAGAGGTACACACACACACACAGGCGTACACACACCCTCCCCACCACGAAAAACAGAATGAGGTGGAGGGAAGGCGCGGTGGTGTCCAGCTAAGGGCAGCCTCCAGGAAAGCACCTCGGTTCCTATTACTTCCTGTTCTGTGGAACTGCCTCCCTGGGCGTAACCCCCAATGAGGGCATTTCTTTGTGGGGCCCGCTAGGTAGCCGGCTACGCATGTCTGGATTGTTCAGCCATCCTGAACCAGTGAAAACAACCCCCCCCCATCACACAGGAGTGCCCCCAAGGCCCTTCCTCCATGCTTGAATCCTCTGGCAAACCCAAGGGCCTGGCGAGATAAAGGAAGTGAAAACTTGATGAAACGTGCAATACAGATGTGAGGGAAGACGAGACTTGCTTCATTAAGTCGGGTGACACGGGTGGGTTTTTCTGTGCTGATTTCCTTGTGCCCGAGGTCCTCATCCTGGGGTTCTGCTGCCTCTGCCCACATTGATCAAGTTTTAGCTTTGAGCAGGAGAAAGTTACGCCCACAGCCAGGCTGGGGAGGCATCGCCTGGATGTTCAGAGACTCTGGGGAAAGCGCTTTATGTCCTTCAGCTGAGTGAATGAAATGGGCCTCATGCCCTGCGCCCGGCATCAGAGTGTGGGGCTCCTTCCTCGCTCCCCTGGAGAAGCCCTTAGGACCCCCACATAGTGTTCACTAGAGACTGTGGCCCAATTCACGTAGCTTGGTGCTGAGACTCGGTTGGAAGCAAAGAGGAGGTGGTGTCCTGAGGGGCCGTCCCAGCCTCGGGCCCCAGGAAGGAGGATCAGAGCTACTGGTGGGGAGGGAAGGGTGGCCCTCACGAACCTGAGGCAGGGTGGAGAGCTGCCCCCGTCCTCCTCAAGCCGTTCCTCACACCAGGCCAAACACGACCCTGAAAAATGAAATTGCCAAAGATGAACGACAATGTACACAAAGAGCATGTCATCTAAACATTTAAAAAATAGTTCCCAGCCCTGCACTCAGGGGTTAAAGCACAGCACTATGAAGCTCTCCACAGTCACTGCTGTTCATCCTCACCAGGGAGTGACCTGCAGGGCGCAGCAGACCTCTCCTGTCCTGCCCGCGGCTCCCCTCAGCAGTGGATTTCAGTCAACCTACTTGTTCTGCTCCCCACTCTGTCACTGGTGAATCCTCTTACCCCCTGCAGCTCTGACCTGCACCCCAGTTATTGTATGTATAAATAAATAATTGTTTTTTTTAACTGAAGATGACATTTAAAAAAAGAGCACTTCACCCCCTCAGACTTGAACCTCTGAGCTCTTGAAGCCTACATGGGGACCTTTCCAGAACAAAAGAGATGTGTGACCTTCCATAGAGCAGGGAACCCCAGAGGGAGTCGAGTTGGAAATACGAAAGGCTCCCAAACACCCTGAAAGCCAGCGGTTCCAAGTTATAAAGGGGAGAAACAGGGTGATGGGGGTAGGAGGGATTTCACCCCAGTCTCTGGACCTCAGAGATGCTAGTCACAGCCTCTGCCCACTGGCTGCCACCAGGAGGCCACAGGACAGTCTCTGAACCTGGGGCAGCCTGGGGTCTGGGCCCGCAGGGGCCCCACGAAGGAGTGCGTGACTTCCCAGTCCTGGAGGGAGGCCCCAAGTCTAATTCAAAGTTTTCCTTCACTCACTGAGTACTACATGTGTCTCCATCACTGGAACGGTCCAGACTTGAGAAAAAACCACCAACGCTCCCTCACCCTCTTCATCTTTCCTCTTGGGGGCCAATGGTTACCATGGTAACCTCTCATAAAAACATGTACTCAGTGATCCCCAGAGTCCCATGGGTCAAGCTAATTTTGGTGTGAACCAAGGAGGGTGTGGTGAGGAGCAAGGATCCCGCTGCTCCCACCTGCTCCCACCTGCTCCTAGCAGTAACTTGCCCAGTGCGAGGAGCCTCAGCTTCCCCGCCCTGTGCCCACCTGTGTGGCTCCTGAGCAGTGCCCAGCGTGGGCCTCTGTATCCTTCACTCCCAGGGAGGCCGAGACTTCTCCCTCCGTCTCTCAGCTGCCACGGGGGCGGGGTCATTCCACCTCAGTGCCTTTCCTCGGGGGACACAGGAGAAAGAAGAAGTGGGGGAGACAGATCTCACTGGACTCAGACACCCTCTTCCACCAACCCCCTCCCGGCTCCTCCTTTTTGGTGGAACTGGATCAAGGAGAGGAAAGGGGTGTGCTCATCTGCCCCACCGCCCCACCTTCCTCAGAGCATGTTGCATGGATGAGAAGCCCCCTGAACCCCACTTGCTGTCCCCCAGCTCCTACGGGTCCAGGCCTTCCCCTGGAGACACTGGACTGTGGCGCCAGTTGGACACCGGCTCAGGGTGATGGGGACCGAGGGAACTATTTCTTCGGGGTCTAACAGGGCACGGGGCACAGACACGTCCACTCTGGCTGCCAGCGACACAGCCAGCCAGCTCTGCAAGGGGCTGCGTGTTCATTTGTTTGTTTTCCCACTGGGCAAAGTGGTAAATGTTCTTGGACTCCAGGGGCAGAAGAGGCTCTGTTCTCTCCTGCAGTGATCCCTGGGGGTGATTGGGTGCCAGTGGCCTCCACAGGTAGAAGTTGGGGACCCTGGGCACGGGGAGGCAGGAAGGGAGCAGCCTTGCCTCACTGTGTGGTCTCTGACATGCACCCCAGGACTGGAACACCACCCCTGGGAAATGTGGCCAGCCACCTGCTCTTAGGAGAAGACAAGGATGACACCGGGTGGCTGAGATGAGCGGCAAGACCTCCATGTGCAGCGGGATTTTGAGTTAAAATAGCTGTGGTTCCAAATGCCCAAGAGTGGATGACTGCATTAAAAAGATGTGCACATATACACTATGGAATATTACTTAGCAACCAAAAAAGATAAGCTCATGCCTTTTGCAGCAACATGGATGGAGCTGGAAGAGATCGTGCTTAGTGAGATAAGCCAGAAAGAAAAGGAAAAAAACCGGATGGTTTCACTCATAGCAGGAGTGTAATGGACCAGGTGAGAAAATAATGATAATGAACAGCTACATACCAGAGACATGTCACAGGGCTGGAGTGGGGAATGGGATCAAAAATGGCGGTGGGGGGAAGTGCACTGGACTATGGTGATGGCACACGGGTGATTTGGTGACGAGAAACCCACGGGGATTCAACTGAGAGGGGGGAAAGGCACAAAATGATGGGAAAATAAACTATTATATTATTAAAAAAAAAAAAAGGAAAAAGCTGCGGTCTCCAACCAGTCTGCTTGGAGAAAGGGCTGGGGAGGGCGCAGCCCGCGAAGGGGAGGCTTTGGGGATCTGCTTTGCTGGGGTGACCTCTCTGGGCCTCGGCCGCCCCCTCTGTGAAATGGACGGTAACAATGTCCTGCCACAGACGCCAGGCGAGGCGCTGAGGCACACACCTCACGACCTGCGGGCCCTGTACAAGGATGAAATGACAGGGGACAGCATTTTTCAGGGTGCTGTGCCCTGAGCTCCAGGCCTGGGGAGCAGACTCCAGCCCTCAAGGGCTCTCCCCGCTCAGGTTGTCAGCTGTGGCAGGGCCGCGGGAGGACGCACCGTCTCCTCCTGGCCCTTCTGTCAGTGGCGGGCGCACCCACCGCGCAGAAGCTCTGGTCCTTGGCCCCACTCACGGAGCCCCCCCCAAACCCCAAGGGAAATGGAGGGCCATGTGAGGGGCTGGCGCCCCCTAGCCGCCAGCAGTAGCTCTGCATCCAGTTGCTTCAAGTGGCAGCAGGTGGGAGGGTGGTGCCAGAGGCGAAGGTGTGGAAGCTGGTGAGCCTAGGGGAGCCGTGCAGGGGGCAGGGGAAGGATGGAGGGTGAGGGGGGCCGGCACGTCTCACCACACAGCCATTCTGACCTAGCCGCCTTTTGGGGTCCAGGTGGGGCCCGCTCACCCTGGTGGACAACCCCATGATGATGCCCCACCGGAGCTCGCCTGGACCCCGATCCCCACGCCCTCTGCCACTCCCCCCTCCAAAGAGGACAGGTTGGGTGGTCTCTCCAGCAAGGCCCCTGAGCACACAGCCCTCACGATGCTGGTGTCAGCAGCGAGAAAAAGATGACAAGCCTGGGGGCATGACCCCAGGACGAGAGCGGGAACAGGCTGAGTGGGAGGAGGTTCTAAATTATCCATCAGCACAGGCCCCTCGTGGTCCCATGCATAAATACATAGAGCAAGAGCGCGGGGAGAGAGCAGGGCCGGGGTATAAAAGGGCCAGCAGGAGACGCTGCCGGGATCCCAGGACCGAGCTCCCCAAACCACTGAGGGTCCCGTGGACAGCTTACAGCGGCAATGGCTGCAGGTAAGTTCCCTCAAATCCCTTTGGGCTTGATGTGTACTAAGGCGGGGTGTGGGACCCTGCAGGTGGACAGGGGTGCGCACCCTCTTATAGCTACACCCAGACAATTGGCTAGACGTTAAGTGTCCGGGGCCCCTGGGTGGAGGGGGAGAAGGAAAGGGCTGGCTTGCTGCCTCTGGCCCACCCTGCCTCCTTCCCTCTCTAGGCCCTTGGACCTCTGCGCTCCTGGCTTTCACCCTGCTCTGCCTGCCCTGGCCGCAGGAGGTGGGTGCCTTCCCGGCCATGCCCTTGTCCAGCCTGTTCGCCAACGCTGTGCTCCGGGCCCAGCACCTTCACCAGCTGGCTGCTGACACCTACAAAGAGTTTGTAAGCTCCCCAGGAATGGGTGCTTGTGCGGGTGGCAGGGAAGGTGGGCGTTCCTCCCCCGGTGCGTTATGGGAGGAAACTAGCAAGTTCAGGGGTGCTTCATCCAAGCGAGGGTGCTCTGGTGAGCATAGTCTGCGGGAGGGTAAAGTGCTAAGAACCGTGCTTAGCCCTGGGCGGGGTCCCCCTCCCAGGAGCGCGCCTACATCCCCGAGGGACAGAGATACTCCATCCAGAATGCCCAGGCTGCCTTCTGCTTCTCGGAGACCATCCCGGCCCCCACGGGCAAGGACGAGGCCCAGCAGAGATCTGTGAGTGGCTGTGCCCGCCCCATCAGGGGAAGGGGCTCCCCGCCCCTAAGAGGACCACCCCTTCTTGCGCAGGAACCAGGCAGCGTCCTGGGCTGGCCCGGCCTGCACCCCACCTACCAGGAGTGCTGCTCCCCAGGGAGTGGGGTGGGAGGGACAGGGGACTCGGTGCCCACTGCCACCCCCCTGCGCCTGCAGGACATGGAGCTTCTCCGCTTCTCGCTACTGCTCATCCAGTCCTGGCTCGCACCCGTGCAGTTTCTCAGCCGGGTCTTCACCAACAGCCTGGTGTTTGGCACCTCGGACCGTTTCTACGAGAAGCTGAAGGATCTGGAAGAAGGCATCCAAGCCCTGATGCGGGTGGGGATGGCATTGTGGGCCCCCCACTGCCTAGCCGAGGGTTGGGGTAACCTGGGGGAGGAGGGCAGAAATGCTGCGCTCTCTGGACAGTCTACCTCGGCCTCAGAGCGCGCACAGACTCGGCCTCCCTTTCTCCCTTTTCTTCCTCAGGAGCTGGAAGACGGCAGCCCCCGGCCCGGGCAGCTCCTCAAACAAACCTACGACAGGTTTGACACCAACTTGCGCAGCGACGACGCGCTGCTCAAGAACTACGGGCTGCTGTCCTGCTTCAAGAAGGACCTGCACAAGGCGGAGACGTACCTGCGGGTCATGAAGTGTCGCCGCTTTGTGGAAAGCAGCTGTGCCTTCTAGGCCTGGCCTCTGCCACCCCAGCCCACGTCTCCCCCGGCCCTCCTTTCCTAATAATAAAGTCAAGCTGCATCATATACTGCCTGAATGGTGTTCTCTCCTCTGGGGGGTGGGTGACGGGGCCAAAGGCGGGCTGGGGGGACAGCTGTAGGGGCCCCCGGGGTATTGGACAGAAGGACCAGGCTCTTGCTGGGCTGGAAGGAAACTGCACATTCAGCCCACTCTGTTCACACCAAGTCCACTCTCCAGGGCCTGGGTCCCAGCCGGCTGGGCGCTGGTGGTCAGGACTACCCCCATCGGGCCCTTGGGAGTAGTCCTCCCTCCCCCACCAGCTCAACACCAAGCCGAGCCCCCAAGTGCCGGAAGAAATGTGAGCAGGACTGGTTATGCAGAGCAGAGGCTGAAAGGCTGCAAGTGATAAGGGAGAAAACGTAGAATCACTTTTGTGCTGAAATTGTAAGGTGAATGCACGTGAGCCCAGGTGCACAGGAAAGGAGAGTTGGACATGAAGGGCTGAACCACACCCCATGAGGCTCAGACTCCCTGTGAGGGCCACACGCAAGGAGGGGTGTGGAGAGACACGTGCAAGACTGCGGGCCTCTGGTTCTTGGACACAGGCTTTTTTTTTTTTTTAAGATTTATTTATTTTATGCATACAGTACTTGGGTACAGGCCAGAGGTGGCAGGGGCAGTGAGAGGATTCGCCAGAGACAGAGTGGGGAGCAGAACAGGCTGATTGATGAAGTGCACTGCTGAGGGGGAGAAGTGGGGAGACAGGAGAGGTCTGCTGTGCCATGTGGGTCAGCTCCGGGGCCAGGGATTGAACTCGCACAGAGACAGCCAAGGCTAGCTTCACAGTGCTGCACTTTAACCCGTTGCACCACCAGATTTTTATGCGAAACCTAGTTTTTAAACCAGAGGAGCCACTAATCCACTCTGGGAATATTTTAAGGACTAAAATTAAGCTAGTTGTATGTGGTCTGCAAGCTGTGTGGTGGGTAGGGATGGTTTGGCATAAGGGGGAGAATCAGAAAGGCTCAGACCCCAGTTTGTGTTCATGAATAAATCCCTGAACCTTCTTGAGACCCAGCTTCTGTTTCCTTGCCTATGAAAAGGAGATGATAATATATTACCTGACCAGGTGTAGGTGAGGATTAAGTGAAGTTTCTAAGGCAATTGACACATCACAGCACTCAAGAAATTGCAGCTATTTTTGCTCTGAAGTTTGGGTTTTTCTGATGGAATGTTTAAATCATTGTTACTAAATCATATTTTTTTCTTAAATGGTATGTTTTTTCCTCCCTAAATTAATTTAACAGGTCAGTGGTGAACGCTCAAAGTTAGTTTTCAGATACATTTTGGCTAAGTAAATCAATTTGAATGGTAAATCAATACTTAAGCTCAAAGGAACTCAGTTATCCCAACCTGATTTTACAAAATCATTCTTTTACATTGCAAATAATGGATGTCTAATTAATCTTCCTGAAAAACTTTTACATGTCATAGCGAATTTTCTTTAAAATAGAACCCACCTGTATCCATTTTGGATATTTTACATTTAGTGACATAGATCCTTGGCAAGTGGTTGAAAGTTGGGCTAGGTAGACCTGGAACGCTATTTTTCATAGCTACTTCACTCCTCTATTGTCTGAATTTATGATCATGATTTTGGGAGCTAAAAGGGTTATCCCAACTCCTAATTTAGGCATCTCACTCTAGAGCATCTCTTCCAGGAAGTATTCAGCAGTGAAAAAGGAATGAGTATCTCACAAGGCAACTCATTCTAATGAACTGCCCTGGTCTCAGAAAAGCATTCTTTTTTTTTTTTTTTTTAAGATTTATTTATTTGCGCATACAGAACTGGGGTACAGGCCAGAGGCTCAGGGGCGGCTAGAGGCTTCACCAGAGACGGAGTGGGGAGCAGAACAGGCAGATCGACGAAGTACACTGCTGAGGGGAGCAGCGGGCGGGTCAGGAGAGGTCTGCCACGCCATGTGGTCACCTCCGGGGCAAGCGGGAATCGAACTCATGCAGAAGTGGCTTAAGCTTCTTAGTGCTGTGCTTTAACCCGCTGCGCCACCAGGGAGGGCCTCAAAAAGGCATTCTTTACATTAAGTTGAAATAAATATCCCTGTAGCAGCAGCTCTCTGCCCACCTGTGTCTTTGCAGCTATCTTTTCCTTTCTCCTTAAAAAAAAAAAAATCAACATCCCTATAATATCCTTCCTTTGGCCTTAGAACTATTTGAAAACCTCATGGAAATTTATATCATGAGCACAAGTAGAATCATCTTTTGACTTGAACGCATGTCTTAAAAGGAAATGTAAACATTTTAAGAAGTATTTGTTGAATGAACGTGGCAGGAGCCAGCGGTGTTAGAAAGGGCTCCTTTAAGAGAGCTGTAAAGTGAGGTTGTAATGCCAGAAGCGGACTGCAGGGGGCGCCACCCCGGGGGCGCATCTACTCCGCTCCTCCAGGTTATGGCGGAATCAACTTCCTCCAAGCTGCTTGAAAATGACAAACATACTACAGCACTTTTTGCAAGAGTTTAAAAATTTTAAAGACTACCCTAGACTCTCTGACTTGCCAAATCTTGGCCTGCCTTTCTGCTCTTCAAATAGGCAGCCATGGCCGCCTTCCTTGCAAATGAGAAACACCGGTACATTAGAATGATCCAAAGTGGATACAGGTAGGTTCTGTTTTAAACTACTCTACTCCCTGAGGTTCTGGTTTAATTGGTCAGGGTTGGGATCTGGGTAAATGTAGTTTTACCCAGAGGGCTGAGAACCAGAGTTAGGTGCCACAGAGCGGTGAGGATGCTTGTCCATAGTTATTGTATTGGTAAAAAGAAACAGGAGGTGAGAGAGATGGACAAACTGCGGCGCTTTCAGTTTCCAATTCTAAGTAATGAATTCCAATTCATTAAAAAGGCAATCGTGTGTGATTCTTCTTCATTGAGACCCAAGGCAGCTGGATTCATAGTGACAGAAAGTGGAATGTAGGCCCTCCCTGGTGGCGCAGAGGGCGAAAGCACAGCACGAAGAAGCTAAAGCCTCTTCAGCATGAGTTCGACCGACCCCTGCCCCGCTGCTCCCTCAGCAGTGAACTTTGTCGATCTGCCTGTTCTGCTTCCCACTCTGTCTCTGGTGAATCCTCTCACCACACCTGTGCCTCTGGCCTGTACCCCAGTTCGGTATGCATAAATGAATAAATCTTTAAAAAAAGAAAGAAAGAAAGTGGAATGATGTTTGCCAGGGGTTGGGGCTGGGGAATAGGAGTTTTGTTTAATGGGCACAAAGTTTCAGTTTTCCAAGCTGAAACCATAGTCCATAGTTTCACAGCTACAAATTCTGGAGACTGGTTGTACAAATGAATTGGATTTGACATTACTGAACCATATCCTTAAAAATAGCTAAGATGGTAAATTTACTTTGTTTGCTTTACCACAATTAAAACATTACAAATATTTTCTAATAAAAAAATCTTCCTGAGTTTAGATTGGTAAGACTTATGCTAGAAAGAATTCAATAGGCAGAAATCTGGAATTTCTGGAATTCCAGATTTCTAGAATAGCGTTTTTCTCATACCACGTTATCTTTTAAATTCGCCCTAACCTCAAATGTCCTCTTTTGGGTACCTTCCATCAGCATCAATGAACCACACTGAGTTTTGTCCATTTACATGTAGTTCAGAGCCAAATGGCATTTCCCCTTTCTTTACAAGCCTTCTTCAGGGTTACAGGATCTGGTCTGGGCCAAGCAAACTTGATAGTTTTCCTTATGGCTTCTTTAACTCAGAAGCCCCTGATGTGACTTAGAAACACCTTCAGTGAGTATTAAGGTCGCCAGCTCCTCCACTACATTAGTGCTGAAAATCCCATGTCCCCACGACCCTTGAGCTCAGTGCAAAACTCAGGACAGTTGGTCATCCTGCAGGCTAGGGCCCTAAATCTGAAGAGTAAGAGGAGGGGAAAAGAGAGGGAGAAGGGAAAGAGGAAAGAGGGAACACAATGGCTCAGAGGAGGCACAGACTGTATCTGCCTTTTCAAGGCCTCAGCAGCTGCCATGGATTTCTGACTCTTGCTTTAAGTTTATTATAATAAACTTATAATTATCCCATTTTACTATAATAAGCGGCTATAATTACCACCAGCATTGTTAGTGTCATAATAGAAACGGATCCTTATCAACACATATACACACCACACCAGTGTTTTCACAAGTACTATGACATGCCCTTCCAACTATAATCCTCTAACAGAGAAATGTTATTACTACCCCTGTAGTAGTGAAGAGTTCACTTGTGTTTCCTCAGGTCTAAGAAAGACACTAGAAAGTCATCTTGACTTTTTAAAGATTTATTTATTTATGCATACAAGATCTGGGGTGCAGGCCAGAGATGCAGGGGGTGAGAGGATTTACCAGAGACAAGAGTTGGGAGCAGAACAGGCATTTTCACTGAAATATACTGCTGAGGGGAGCAGTGAGGAGACAGGAGAGGTCTGCTGCGCCATGTGGGTAGCTCCCTGCCTGGGGATCAAATTCATGTGCAGTGGCTGTGGACAGCTTCATAATGCTGCATCTTAATCCCTTGTGCCACCAGGGAGGCCCTCACCTTGACTTTCTTATGAGGATAAACTTTTGGGATATTAAAGTTAGCTTCTTCCTTTACGGACAGTCAGTAGCTCCAGTTAAGTGTGAGCTGGTTGCTCTATAGTTTAGAAAGAGTATGATCAGAAGCTTGCAATGCACGGGGTTCTGGGAAGGAGCTGGAATGAGGTCCTGTGTGCTTTAAGGCTTGACCAGGAGGGCAGCAGTGTCCTGGTTGTGTAGAGAGAGAGAAAGGGAACAAAAGCTCTATTTCTACATGAGGAAAAGCCCAAATCTGAGCAGCCTTGCAGGAAGACTAATCCTTAGAATGGGTTCAGGGCTCTCCCTGGTGGCATAATGGATTAAAGCACAGCATTGTGAAGCTCTACGAAGCCACAGCAGCACAAGTTCAATCCCCGGCCAGGGAGCTGACCTCCATGGCGAGGCAGACCTCTCCTGGCCCGCCTGCTGCTCCCCTCAGCAGTGTACTTCCTCGATCTGCCTGTTCTGCTCCCCGCTCTGTCTCTGGTGAGTCCTCTCACCCACCACAACTCTGGCCTGTACCCCAGTTCTGTAAGCATAAATAAAATCTTTTAAAAAAAAATTGGGGCTCAAAGAACTGTAGCCATAAAAACCCAGACAAGTATTCACCCTCACTGGACTAAGCCCAGGGGAAGCAAATCCTCTTCCTCAAAGACGCATAGCAGCCAGCCCAGGAGCAGACCTGCAGCATGCAGCACCGTGAGGGCTGAGGGACAGGTGTAGGATGCTGTCAACAGTGACACCATGTGGCAGTGGGAAGCCAGGGCAGGTTCTGGTGGAGCCTCCGGCTCTCCAGGGTGGTAGAGTCTGCTAGTCAGAACGACCACCCCCTCCCTCTAGTTACTTTGTTTTTGGCATCTCTGTGTCTCTGGCCATGGAGGTTCTGCGTCGGGGTTTGCAGGCCAGAGACGGCTGACTGCAGACCTGATACAACGGATCCCAAGCACAGCCTGGCTGGAGCTCCCTAGATCAGGCCACTGTATAATCTCTTACACTTCTTCGTGTGTTTCCCCAAGTCACATGAGACGGGTGGCTACGATAGTGCAACACTGAGGCTGAGGTCACGGGGGTGGGGGGGGGGGAGGCTGTTTTGGGAAGTCAAATGCAGATTCCCGTCTCCTTCCTGCACTGGGCGTTCTGACGGCCTGAGCTTCCCAGTGTGGGCGCAAAGGTGCAGTGGTGCTTTCTGGCCATGAGCTCTCGGTGCCCTCAAGACTGCAAGCCCTGGTGGGCAGGGTGTGTGCATCACCATCACCGTGAGCCTAGGACCTTGTATGTGTTGAAGCCAAGGGGTTGTAGTTATTTCTGATTCATAACCCCGGCCTCAGCGAAGGTCTGGCAAGAATGGATTTTTTCGCTTTGTTGTCTGACGGCATCTGAAATGGGCTGTACACCTCTATCTGGAATGAAGTGTAGTTTGAGGATCTAACAGCTTGCTACCCTAGCTAATCCGCCACCTGCGCTGGGCTGGTTGTTCATGCTATCAATCTAACATTCTTTCTTAGAAATCGTACTCATGGTACAATCACGTGGCTCAATAAGATCAACTCTGACACAAAAGAGAAAGACATTCGGATGTGGGAAAATCAATTTTATTTTTGCCACGCGGTATCATTTCACTGGCCCTTACATGACGGATTTTGGAGAAAGAGATGAAGTTTTATGAATGTCTTCTCCAAGGGTGAATATACTCTTTCCAAAGAACAGAGAAGGAAGCCAAATCAGAAAATCACATGTAAACATTGTCATAAGTGGATACCTCCTGAAAGTTAAATATTTTGTAGACACAGGAAAGCAAATACTTCTTTATGAGAAGGAAAAATAAACATTGGAATTCTACCCTAACAGTCTATGTTAAAAAGTGTTGAATGTGAACCCTCAGGTGATTCCGCTACTACAATGGACTATGAAAAGGAATTCAAAGATGTTTGGCACCATTAACCTAGGAGGCAATACCAGGGAAGAGCCCTCCCTCCCCCTTCAGGCAGAACACCCAGCCAGGTAGGCTGCTGGCCCACCCATGTGGGGTTTCTATGATTTTCACACTCCCCCAAGGCACACAGCAGAGTTAGTGAGCTGAAGCCTAACTGGTTGCTGACCTTTAGTGCTGCTGCCAAGCTCAGCTCCAGAGCAGGGTTCCAGAAGCCCAGCTGCAGGAGTTCTGGCGCCCCCTGCCCATCCAGCTCAGCACTCTGCCCCTTGGGCGTCCTGACCCTGCACTAAGGAAGTAGCGCTCACTTGGGAGGAAGCATGGGGGTGAGTTGCATTTCTGCATTGCATCTGGTCATCTCCTCCGTCTGAGGCCTGGGAGCACGGGGCAGCTAAGAGCGGGGTGATGAAGCACGGCCGGATCTTTTCTTTCAAATCTAAGAGACGGACAATTAAATACACAACAAGGAGCAAGTGGCCGGCTGACTAGTGGAACATGGAGACTGAGATTCCTGTAACCCAAGTGAACTTGGAAAAACAGCTGTGGGTGGACTGGATACAAGGGACACGGGGCCCGAGACACTCGTTTTAGGGGACCCAAGAGCTCAAGGATGAGACATTCTGTCTGTTCCCTTCTCCTCGATGCCCTCTTCTCTCCTTAGGAAACCCCAGCGGCAGTCTTCTACAACCAAATAGCTGTTTCTGTTCAACAGTTCTGTGCGCTGCACTTTTCTGCGAGCTGAACAGCAAACTGGTTTTCCTCTTCTCTGATTTTCTCTTTCTGCCGATAAGGCAATTTCTTCCTCTGCATTTTGCAGGGCCGATAGTTCAAGTACAGTGCTATGGTGATTACTCCCGCTCCAAGAGCCACGATAACAATGACAAAGACGGTGGGGTTGACGCCTTCGTTTGGTCCTGCCCCAGAGCAGAAGACAGAGAATGAGGAGGGCCCAAGGGCAAGAGAATCACCACCCACCCCCCAGCCCACCTACCCCACTTCTCCACCTCACCCTCCCCAGCCCACTAAAATCTTCCCTCTTCCCATGTTTGGGTACGAATCCCAGTCCTGGCCTCTTCCCAGCCCTGCGTGCGAATCCCAGTCCTGGGGGAGCGCCAGCCCAGCCCATCACCACGGTCACCTTGAACGA